CATACATACATACATACATACATACATACATACAGGGCCCACAATTTAAACAGTTTCAAGTATTAATTTGTTTATTTTTAAGTAATTTGGGCTTCCAGCTTATGAAACCCACGAAAACAGGAAATCAAAAAATTTGAATACTGTGGAGAAATCAGCCCAAATTTTGCAGGGCATGAATGTTTTAAACTGAGTGTGACACACTAATCATTTACTAAACTCAAAGCACCTGCACAGGTTCCCCCAGCTGTCATTAAATTGCTTCAGTTTGGTTCAATTGGCTCAGTTCAGTTCAGTATGGGGAAGACTGCAGACATAACAACTGACCAGAAGACCATCATTGATACCCTCCATAGGATGGGTAAGCCACAAAAGTTCATAGCTAAGGAGGCTGGCTGTTCACAGAGTGCTGTGTCCAAGCATCTCAATAGAAAGTCTAGTGGAAGGACAAAATGTGACAGGAGAAGGTGCACCAGCAAAAGAGCTAACTGTGGGCTTCAGTGGATTATCAAACAGAGAAGATTCCAGAATCTGGCAGAGATCCAGAAAGAGTGGAATGAGTCGGGAGTCACAGCTTCAAAAACCACCACATTCAGATGCATCCGGGAGATGGGCTTCAGCTGTTGGGTTCCTCTGTCCTCTTTTCCAATGAAAGTAAAGTGTGCTTTTCATTTGGAAATCAAGGTCCAAGGTTTTGGAGGAAGAAGGGTGAGGAACAGCCCATACTGCTTGAGGTCCAATGTGAAATATCCACAGTCAGTCATGATTTACGGTGCAATGTCCGGTGCAGGTGTTGGTGAACTCTGCTTTCTTAAATTCAAGGTCACCGCAACAGTCTACCAGAATGTTTTAGAGGACTTCATGATTCTTTCTGCTGAGGATCTGGAGATGCAGATTCCCTCTTCCAGCAGGATCTGGCCCCTGCCCATGCCGCCAGAAGAACCAAATCCTGGTTTGATGCCCATGCCACAGTGCTTGACTGGCCAGCCAACTCACCAGACCTAAACTCCATTGAGAATCTATGGGGTATTGTCAAGAGGAAAATGAGGGGCACCAGACCCAACAAAAAGGAAGAGCTGACAGCAAGCATCAAGGAAATCTGGGCTTCCATAACTCCCAGGGAATGACACAGGCTGATTGCCTCAATGCCATGTCGCATTGAGGCAGTGATTAAGGCAAAGGGATTCAGAGTCAGTCAGAGAGTCAGAGTTTCTTTATTGTCATTCGCACCTCATGTGGTACATGTGGTGGAGTGAAATTATGTACACAGGGTCCCAGTTACATCCAACAATAAAATGTATATTATATTCCAAACCAAGATTGACATAAGATTGACATATCATTTTGAAAGTACCATATTTTGATTGATTTGTTGTGACCCTAATTTTTTACTGTTTTTCTGCAAAAACTGAGAAGTAGTGTGGGCTGATGTCTCCACAGTATTCTAATTTTTTGAAATCCTGTTTTTGTGGGTTTCATGAGCTGGAAGCCCAAATTATGTAAAAATAATCAAATAAATACTTGACATTGTTTAAATTGTGGGCCCTGAATCAATCATCTATTAAAGATGAATGTTTTGAATGGAATTATGCAAGTTAAACAACTTTTCCATGATATTCTAATTTTTTGTAAAGGGTATGTATACACACACATATGAATGAACAAAGGATATTTCCTTGCTATGCAATGGGGGACAAAAAACATCTTGAAACTTTTGTTATAATTTGATTTGATTGTTTTTGGTCCTCACTCAAGGTTCATTTAATGTAGTTTTATTTAAGTTTTAACTGATTTTAAGTCAAATGTTTTATATACATATATTGTTCGGGTTTGTATGCGCGGACTCGTGCTTGCAGGTTAACATGAGGAGCTTCAGTAAAAACAGACATAACTTTATTTTAATTAAAACAAAAGTTCCCTGAATGGGAAGCGATTTGTCTTTAACTACAGATCTGAAGTCCAGTTGCTTTTTATGTACAACCTTTAGGATTTGAATGACTGAGAGTGGGCAGCACGGTGGCGCAACTGGTAGAGCTGCTGCCTCTCAGCGAGCAGGTCCCTGGTTCAAACCCTGGTCCAGGGGCCTTTCTGGGTGGAGTTTGCATGTTCTCTCCGTGCATGCGTGGGTTTTCTCCGGGTACTCCGGTTTCCTCCCACAGACCAAAAACATGCATGTTAGGCTGATTGGTAACTCTAAATTGTCCCTAGGTGTGAGTGAGAGAGTGAATAGTTGTTTGTCTCGTTTGTCTCTATGTGGCCCTGTGATGGACTTGCGACCCGTCCAGGGTGTACCCCGCCCCTCGCACAGTGATTGTTGGACATGGGCACCAGCGACCCCCGTGACCCAAAATGGAATAAGTGGGTAAAGATAATGGATGGATGACTGAGAGTCTCAACCTGCAGATTAATGAAACACTGGATAAATATCTGCTGAGGATCACCTCTGTTCTTTAAGTTTTTGAACTGTGTATCTGCAGATGAGAGTTTAATGTTAAAGGCTAAGCACAAGCCAGAGTTTTATCTTTAGAAGCATTATGAATTAATCATGTCTTGCATTTTAAATTTGTATTTGATTTTGTCTCAGGTGCAGAGGATGGTGTCTCTCCATGCAGCACCCCCTCCTCTGCTGGATGGGAGAAATGCAGCTTCACTGAGGGTAGGTGTTTCAGCTCACTCCTACTCTCCACAAACACCATCTCACACATAACATCAGAGGAACTGTTGCTGTTTCATCGAGCAAAATATATGAAACATCAGATTATTGACATTTTTGTTCCACTAAAGGAAGTTTGACAATTTTTGGACTTTCACTGACCAACTGAGGGAATACTGGAGATGTAAATGTAAACAAGACAACACTGGAAATAAACAACAGCTCCTAGATAAGCTGACTGTTGTCAACACTACATCTCACTAGGTGTGGTTGTATTTGTATTAGGAAGGCTTCTTCTTCTTTGATTTGTCTAACTTTCCCTCTGTCTGCCTCCGTGTCTTTAAGTCTCCCAAAGGAGTCCATCTGTGACCTCTGACCAATCCTTGAAATCTGTGGAGAGCCTTTTTTCTGCCAGGTGGGTAACAGGAGGTGCGTTAGGAGGATAAATAATCTGTAGTTGTGACCCCAACTGTTAAATCAGACTCAGACATTTGAATTCTGCAGCTGCACAGTTCAGAAACATATTTTTACCATCATCAATGTCAGTCAGCTGTTTTGGACTTTTACAACAAGCTGCCTCACATAGCAAAGTTACTGCCTACTGTTGAGGTCTTTCAAACTATGAGAACCAACTTTCAAACACTTAGCTAAAAACTGCCTCAACCTGAGATCGTTCAGTGGAAGGAAGACAGAGTCAAAAACACAGCCTGAGAAGTGGTTCTGAATTCAGACAAAGATTTATTTTACCTTCACAGCGCTGGAAAGGGAGATGTCTCACATGCACCTTACATCCATCTAACACGTCTCAGTTACAAATGTATTTGCTTCGTTTAAATACAGCCTTATCAGTCACATTGGGATGTCCTTATCATGATGTTGTTCTGAGTCAGTCGGCACTACTGGGCGTGGTCTGGCATGGTCTTGTTTTTTTGCCCACTGCCCCAGCTGACTGTGGTCTGTTCTGACAAGATAGCAAGTCTCTGGTTCCCTTGTACAAGGAGTTATGCACATCATGAACCCACATGACGCACATCATGACCCTGCAGTTTTTCACCATACACAGAGAAATATTTCATGTCAGAGCATAGCAAAAAAGATTACATTATACAACACTACATCCAGTTTGACTGTAATTAACAATGATCATTTCATCAGTACAAGAGGGAACTGACAGCGAGTTCCTCTGTAAAGATGTGACATTCAGAAACTACAGAACCGAACCACAACGGTCGTTCAGGAAACGCGTTCTACAAAGACGGACAACCAAACCAAAAACAGGGCACCTTTTCACAAAATTGAATCAACACTAAACACCAGCAATATATTAATCACTAATTTTTACTACACATATTGCATTAAATAAAAGGCACAATTAATATTTTTATGCTCAGTTTCTTTTCTGTACTTGTTTTCTTAAATAGATATTCATGTTTTTAGTTTTGTTGTATTTTATTACATTTTGTTAAATTTATGGCGAGGTATTTTTGTGATTTCCTTTATATTCCAATACCTCAGATATTGTTTATTTTATTCATTTATTTTTGCAGCACAGGATTACTCAAGGAAAATCCATCAAAAACTAAATGCAATATTGTGAAATCTCATGGCGTTGGTCAGTGCTTAGAGTAAATCACAGGGTTAACCCTCAACTAGGAATGTGCGATATGGCATAAAATTCATATCACGAAATGTATTGTGAAGGGTGGCGATAACAATATACTTTGTATATTGCGATATGTTTTTGGTATAAAACTTGCTAAAAAAAAGCAGTGTGTTCTTTTGCCATTATATATTTTGAATTAAGAAAATTCCACTATTAGGTCCAGATAGTTATGATAAACAAATCAAGTATTAGGCTTCTTTCTTGTAATGCAAAACAGTGCAAAATATATCAAATTTAGTTTTAACCATATGTTTTAAACAAAAGAATATGTTGTTAAGTTAACAGTTTCCAGTCTTCTCACTTAAGAAATGAAAAGTGTTAGGATTTGTGGTAGGAGCGAACCCAGAGTGCAGAACAGGGACTCAACTCGGCAGATATACAAAAATAGGTTTTTAATGATAAATGAAAAGTACAAAATAAACAAGCTGACGGGGCAGCAAAACTTACATAAACAAGGAGGGAGGCACGGGGAACTCAGGAGACATGGGGAACTCGAGGAACCAGGAAGACAAAGAGAGACTCAGGAGACCCAAGGAAGCGTACCCAACGAAGAACGACCCGACAAAGGACAAGACAGAATAGGACTGCTTAAATACTTGAAGAAGACGAGACATGATGACAAACAGCTGGGACGAGACACAGGTGGCAACAATGGAAACTAATGAGGAGCACGAGGGAAACAGACACACCGGGCCACAGAAAAGTAACATCCTTACA